TGAGCCAAATATGATGTCGTCCACATAGATCTGAACTAATAGGAGATCTTCTCCATCTTGTAGTTTGAACAATGTCTTGTCAATTACTCCTTTGGTAAATCCATTGTCTATAAGAAATTGAGAGAATGTATAATACCAAGCTCTTGGTGCTTGTTTGAGTCCATACAGCGCTTTTTTGAGTCTATACACTTGATCTCCCTTAGTGTGTAACTCAAATCCTGGAGGTTGTTCCACATACACTTCTTCCTCTAGGTTTCTGTTGAGAAATGCGCTTTTGACGTCCATTTGATAGACCTTGAAGTCCTTATGAGCAGCAAAGGCTAGAAACAGCCTTATAGCTTCAAGTCTAGCAACTGGAGCGAAGGTTTCATCAATATCTATACCTTCTTCTTGACAATATCCTTTTGCAACTAACCGGGCCTTGTTTCTGACAACAACGCCGTTTTCATCCATCTTGTTCCGGGAGACCCACTTTGTCCCAATGACATGTTGTTGAGTAGGTCTGGGAACAAGTTTCCAGACATCATTTCTGAAAAACTGGTTGAGTTCTTCTTGCATTGCATTGATCCAATCAGAATCAGCTAGAGCTTCTTCAATATTCTTTGGTTCTACTTGTGAGATGAAACAAGCAAGCATAGCTTCTAGATTCTGTTGGGCACTCCTTGTGCGAACACCAGATTGTATATCTCCGATGATCTGTTGAAGAGGATTATTCCTTAACCAAAGAAGATTGTGTTGATTGGGATTGACTGGTTGATTTAGTCCAGCTTCTGGTTGAAGAACAGAAGTTGTTGGTGTTTCCGGATGGATTCGCACTGGGTCGCCATTTCCGGAATTATCGCCGTTTGAGAGATCCAGAATATTGGAAGGCTGGCCAAAATTTCCGGAGGGCTCAGCACTGTCTAAATCCGGATTTCTCTGTGAAGTCTTCAGAGGCAGACTTTTGAATAGAATGAACTCCGTGGGCTTCATTCTATCTCTTTCATTGACTTCTTCATCCTTGTCTGATAGATCCAGAACCTCACGGTCATGCTTTGACGGCTTGTCAACCACATATTTTTCATCAAAAATAACATGTATTGACTCTTCCGTGATCATGGTTCTTTTGTTGAAAACTCTGAATGTCTTGCTCATCATAGAGTATCCAAGGAAGATGGCTTCATCTGATTTTTCATCAAAAGTGTTCACGTGTTCAGCTTCATGCAGTTGGTGAGTTTCCCTTGAGTCTCCTTCTTGCTGTTGAGGTAGATTGTCCACGTGTATCTTTAGTAATCATCAACTATCACCAGGAAATATTTCTTTCCACTTAGACATATTGGTGTAACAGGGCCAAATAAGTCCATGTGAATAAGACTTAATATCCTTGTAGTTGAGGGTGCCGATTTTGCCTTGAAGGTGGACTTGACTTGCTTTCCTTTTTGGAAAGCATCACAAATACTTTCCTTTCTGAATGCAGCTTTGGGAAGACCTTCTACTAACTCTTCTTTGGACAGCTTGTTGAGGGTTTTGAAGTTGAGATGACTCAACCTCTTATGCCAAAGCCATAGAAGGTTAGTGTCACCTTTGCTGATTAGACATGCTTCCTTGACATCACTCCATATTACTTCATAGATGTTTCTGATTCTCTTCCCAGTGAGAATGACTTCATTTGTGGAGATGTTCTTGAGAGATGCCATATTCTTGCAGAATTCCAAGGAGTAACCTTTATCACAAAACTGACTTATGCTAAGAAGGTTATAATTGAGTCCTTCAACATAAGATACAGCTTGGATGGTTAGTCCCTTGTACACCAGATTTCCTAGCCCTTTAGTGAGGCCGAAATCATTGCTTCCTCCAAAAGTAACTCTTGGACCATCATAGGGAATTGGATTGCTCAAAAGGCTTGCATCACCCGTTATGTGTCTTGAACAGCCACTGTCTAAGTACGAGACACCTGGGTACTTAGCAGCTTCCTGCATTAGGAGGAGGAAGATTTTGGTACCCAATTAAGTTTGGGTCCGGAGTCGTTAATGGTGTGTGTCCCTACATCAAGTTTGAAGTTGCAGGGAATCTTCCTTGCAGCTCTAAACTTGTTGGGATTGTAATCATAGTTGTAGGCATAAAACTTCCTACGTGCAGGAGGTGCTATTTCATGTTTCCTCCTAGCAAACCTAGGTTGATAAGACCTATAGTTCTGTCTAGGTTGTGCATAGTGTGTCTTGTGTTGGTTATAAGCATACTTAGGTGGCACAAATAGCTTCTGGGGTGGAGGGTGACTATATCTTGGTATAGTTCTCCACTCAGAATTTCTTGGAAAACTCCTGTCTACCCCATAATGAGTATAGCCTCGTGTATAATGGGGTTTAGAAGGTTTTCTTCTGAAATTATTTCCTTTTTGAGGTGTGTCCAGCTTCCTATAGTTCTTAGGAGGGACTCCCTTTTTGGGAACTTCTGTTGGTTTCTCCTTTTCCTTCCCTTTCTGCTTATTAGGTTTGGCAGTAGGTTTAGGAGGGATGAAAGTTGTCTTCCCTTTCCTTTTGGACCTAGAGGAGTCAAACCCAAGTCCTTTGCGACCCTTATGTTTGGTCGTTTCAAGCAGCTTGTTCACTGCTTCTTGGGACTTGAGTATCCCTAGCTCTTTGTTAAGGGATTTCACCTTTTCAGAGAGAGATTCATTTTCAGTCTTGGGTTGAGTGATCTCATCCAGTTGACTTTTCCGACTTTCAGTCAACTTGAGATTGTCTTCACTCAATAGTTTGTTCTCTTCTGTTAAGGATGTGTGTTTGAGATTTATCTCCTCAAAGTCTTTCATCATCTTTTTGAACTGGTCAAAAAGATTTTCAGAAGTTGGTGTGCTATAAGAAGATGAGCATGAGGTTTGTGAGGTTACCTCTTGATCAGCATCATCTTTGGCCATTAGGCAGAGAGTGTCATCTTCTGACATAGTCCACCTATCCTCATGGTTGGACTTCTCAACTCTGCGCTCCATGCAGACGAGGGCTTCTTCATCCGAGCTTGAGCTGGATGACTCGTCACTTTCAGCAGCAACCATTACTTTCTTTTTCTTCTCGATCCTTTCTCTTTCTCCGTACTTCTCCACTTTTGGGTACGGGCATGCTGACGTCCAGTGGCCAGGATTCCTGCAGTTATAACATAAATAAGATTAAGGAGGGGAGTCACTTACCTGTGGCTTTCCCTTGGATGGCCTTCTGACTGAATCAGCCTTCTTGAAGAACTTCTTGAACTTCCGGAATTGTTTGACCATCATGGAAAAATCCTCTTCGTAGTTCTCCATTTTTGAGCTTGACGGCTGGCTAGAGGAAGGTGTGTCACAGTTTCTTGTGCATGTCCCTTCACTTGATGGAATTCTTGAAGTTGTCATCAATGTCGTGGGGAAGGGAGTAACTTGTTCTTCCTTCTTCTTTTTCAGCTCGTGCTCATAGGTTCTGAGTTCATCAAGGAGACCTTGAACAGTGTAGTTTTCCAGGTTTCTTCCTTCTTCCATGGCTTGGCTTTGGTGTACCACTCAGTTGGGAGTGATCTCAGCAACCTTACATTCTTTTCTTTGGGAGAAAGAATGTGGTTAAGTGAGGCAAGATCATTCAAGATTTTGTGGAACCTTTCATCCAACATATAAAATGATTCCCCGGGAAGCATTTTGAAGCCTTTGAACTTCTCAAGTAGGACTTCTATCTTCTGCTTTCTCAAGTCCTCTGATCCCTCACATAGCTTCCCAAGACCTTGCCATATTTCCATGGCAGTCTTGAGATGCTTGATTTTGGAGAAGGTGATGGGATCAAGTGTCTTGAAGATGGCTGCTTTGGCGACGTTGTCCAGATTGTGCTTTTTACAATCTCTATCATCCCATTTTTCCTTNTCCATCCTCAAGCACCATCCACATGCAGTCATGTAGAGCGTAGAGATGTGCTTCCATCATGATCTTCCAATCATCATAACCTAAGAGAGAAAACTTGGGCAAACCGTGATCCATATTGTTCACCATTATGATCGCTTCTCGTTAATCTAAACGTAGATAGTGAGAAGTTTGCTCTGATACCAATTGGTGGTCCCAAAGTGGTGAAATACAAAGTCTAGAGGGGGGGGGGGTGAATAGACTTTGTTACAGATTTAATATCTTTTTCGTTTCTTTTGAAAACGTGCAAATGAGTGTTAATCTAGAGTCCTTGTGAACCTTAGATTGTGTGCGGAATTTGGTGGGTAGAGTGAGCAGTAATTAATATGGATGGGTTAGTTTTCACGGTTAATATAATTGCAAGTAAGAATAAAGATAAAAGAGAGAGACACACAAACTTTAACGAGGTTCGAAGGTGGGGTAATCCTTCTACGTCCTCAAAATCCACTATGTAGTTGGTTGTTGAATAATGAACCAACAATTACACTTGTGTGAATTTCTGCACGGTATATCTTCACAAGACCAATATTGCTACTGCACTCGTGCTGGCTTTGTTGTTCCTTCAAAGGTCAAGCTTCTTCAACAACTTCAAGTTTCGAACAATAGGACACTCAAGATCAACTTGTAAGAAAGTTGACCTACCCCCTTTTAATCAATAAGTTTGATCAAAAGTAATATCCTTCAACGTGGTGTGGTGCTTGAGGCAAGGAAACCTTCAAGTGTTTACACTATAGCTCTTTGGAAGGAGGAAAAGTTTGCTTCTGGATAAGGAGTTTAGAAATCTCTCTTTATCAAGCTTTTTGTGCTAGCTGTGAATGAGATAGCTTTGTTGTTAGAGATTGCTTCGTAGTGTTGTTGTATCTCATTTTTTTTCTCCAGTCTTCCAAGGATTCTATTTATAGCTGGATTGGATAATCTATTCGTTGAATCATAATAGACTATCCGTTGCATTTGCTGGCTTTAATTTTGAATGAAGATTGTGATTTGAAGATTCCTCATTGGAATGGGTGTTTGGACATACCCATTTGTTAAAGGAGGGATTCCTTTTTTTGTTTATAGAGTCCGTCTTCTAACTGCTGTTCAAGTATTCTGGACAGTAGAACTTTACCGTGTTTGTCTTCTATAGCTTGTTTAGGAATTCTGGACAGGTTCTTCAATTCTTAGAGGTTCAGACTTTGTCTTCGAGTCATTTGTTCATGAATCAGCATAATTATCTTCAATCTAGCCGTTGAAAATCAAGAGATTGATTTTTCCTTACCAACGGGTAGAATTTCTTCATTCAAGACTTAGATAATCTTCTAAGTCTTTTCTCACTTGTCCGCTTTTTGAGAATTCTGGTCTTCCTTGGGCATCCGGTTCTTAGCTGACAAATCCGGAGGAGTCTTTCTCAGACTTCCGGGTGAGAAAGAGATTCGCGCTAGTCTTCCGATTTGGGTGACTTAGCCTTCAGCGGGTTGTAGCGAGACATCCGGTTCTTATGTAGTCTTCCGGATCAGAGGATTTTCATCTGCTTGAGAAATCCTTACTTGTCTCTAGCATTTTCGATTAAGATATCCAATTTCCATATCACTGAATTTGATTAAGTCTTCAGACATCAAAACGCTTAAAGAAATATCATAACCTAATTGGAAATCTCAAGAAATTGGTTTTAACAATATTTCTAAAAACAAAAATTACATTGAATATTGGGGGAGACCTAAAGTCCCTATTACATTCTAAATACATCATCATCAAAATCTATGATATTTTTCCCAACATTGTTTATCTTATTGTTGTCGTTGTTCTCTACTTCCCCAGTCTTCCAAGGATGCTATTTATAGCTGGATTGGATAATCTATGCGTTGAATCAAAATAGACTATCCGTTGCATTTGCTGGCTTCAATTTTGAATGAAGATTGTGATTTTAAGATTCCTCATTGGAATGGGTGTTTGGACATACCCAATTGTTAAAGGAGGGATTCCTTTTTCCATAGAATCCGTCTTCTAGTTGTTGTTCAAGAATTCTGAACTGTAGCACTTTATTCTGTTTGTCTTCTAGTGCTTGTTTAGGAATTCTGGACAGGTTCTTCAATTTTTAGATGTCCAGACTTTGTCTTCGAGTCATTTGTTCTTAAATCAGCATAATTATCTTTAATCTAGCCGTTGAAAATCAAGAGATTGGGTTTTTCCTTACCAACGGTAGAATTTCTTCATTCAAGACTTAGATAATTTTCTAAGTCTTTTCTCACTTGTCCGCTTTTTGAGAATTCCGGTCTTCCTTGAGGCATCCAGTTCTTAGCTGACAAATCCGGAAGAGTCATACTCAGTCTTCCAGGTGAGAAAGAAATCCGCGCTAGTCTTCCGACTTAGCCTTCAGCGGGTTGTAATGAGACATCCGGTTCTCATGTAGTTTTCCGGATAGGAGGATTTTTGTCTGCTTTGAGAAATCCTTACTTGTCTCTGACATTTCCGATCAAGATATCCAATTTCCAAATTTTAGAATTTGATTAAGTCTTCAAGCATCAAACCGTTTAAAGAAATATCACAACTTTATTGGAAATCTCAAGAACTTGGTTTTAACAATATTTCTAAAAGGAAAAATTAGATTGAATATCCGGGGAGACCTAAAGTCCCTATTACATTCTAAATACATCATCATCAAAATCTATGATATATTTCCGAACAATTTCCCCCTTTTTGATGATGACAAACAAGTGTTTAAGAGTTCCGGTCGTTGTACTGAGAACTAATTTGGTAACTTTCTTTTAGTTTCTCAAAATATACAGCTTATTAACAAAAACTCTTAAACAAATACAATTCAAATTAAAATAATTCCTAAACCAAGTCTTGTCTTGAGATTTTGTGTTCTCTTCCGCCATTGACCGTTTTCAGCTTCAGCAGATTCTGCTTGGCGGAGCGGTTGGCGTTGCGTTTGATAGATCTTTAATATCCAAAGTTGATATTTAAGATCTTGGAAGCAACACATCTCTCAAAATAAGAAGAAAGAAAGAGAGAGTGTTGTTCCAGAGAAGGTGTAGGGTGTAATCCTGAAAAATACGAGATTTTCACCATAGATCTTCTCTACTGCCGAGATTCTCACCATAGACCATGAAAGTCTTTTCTTCTCAATAGGCTTCTTCCATTGCCGTCTTTGAGGGTGAGAAAGAAAAATTTCGCCATTGAAGATATTTTTCTTGGTGTGTTTCTTAGACAGTGAGTTTGAAGATTTTTTATATTGAAAGAGCTGTTTGTGATAGGAATGGATTGAGATATCTTGATTTAAATAAGAGAGGAGGTAGAGAGAGGGGAGGTTCACGGGTTCCATTAATTGGGTAGATGGAACGGTGAGAGTAAAAGAGTTTCAACTTCCAAGAAGTTGAAAAGTGGAAGGAATCTTTTACCAATTACCAATGAATTGAAACTGTTCCAATTTGAAAATCAGTTTCGTTTGGTTTGAGAACGATAACTGTTTTAATTTGGCTAAGCCCAAAAGAGTGGCCCAAAAAGAAAAGAAAGCTATGTACTAAAGGGAAATTATTCCTATTGGGTTCTCAAGGCCCAAAATAAAACTCATTCCCTATAGTTCTAATTTCTACTTAGGACGAGGTAGTACCAAAACAAATATGAATTTTATTTTTAAAAGAAAAGTGGTACTATTTTTCCAAAGTCCTGAACATTTTAAAAATCCTAAGGACCAGTACTTTTAGAGCTTGTTGGAAATGAATTAAGGACTGAAGCTTAGTTTAAGAAGGCAGATTTTGTAAAGTACCTGAATCGGAGATTTCCAATTTTAATACCAAAACTGAGATATCCGTCTTCCATTGCTTAGAGCTTATCAATAATTCATTTCCAAAAACAATTGTTAGCCAAAAACTAGTTAAGTTCCCCCTGAATTACATTCCCCCTGAATGTATGCGCTAGGAATAAATCTCAAAAACGTACTTGAATTAGGTATAATCAAGCATAGTGAACACAATTAAGAGAAATATTAAGGCAATGTTTAAACCAATAAAGAAATGTTTAAACAAGAAGGTGTTTTCATCAAAGCAAATTAATGTTTTCACATACTTTCCCCCTGGTTTGATGAAAAAAGCCTTCAGTGCTTCTTGCGCTTTGAAGATTCAGCAATCTCCCTGATGCCTTGCATGTTTCCACATAGTTCTTTGATGCGCCTTATGTTGTTCCGTCTCTCCTCTGTTTGATTTTCATTTGAGAAGTGAGCAGCAATTGTTCCTACACCCTTTGTTCCATCCAATCCGGAGCTGGATAAGCGCTGTGTTGAGTTTTCCGAATTGCTTCTCTGAGCTTCAAGGACTAGATCAGTCAAGTTTAGATGCGTAGGAATGTAAGAGACTTCTCCTTCTTTGACTGCAATGGGGAGCTCTGGAATCAAGGATGGACTGTGTTGTTGAAGAACCACTTCCATCTTGCAATTTCCAGAATTTGTGGTAAGAAGTCTGAATAGTTTGTGTGCTTCCTTCTCATTGTCAATGGTTACCTTCAAGTAGTCTTTGGTTACTACTTGATTTGCTGAAGACACTGCTAGAGCTGCTCTGATGTCCATTTGGAGAATGGACATTTGTTTTTGTAGACTGACTGTGACATTTGCTATTTGCTCTCTGATGTTGTTAGCCTCCTTGAGTTGAAGATAACTGCCAGATGCATATGTCTCCATCGTGTTGCTCACAGTGCTACTCAATATAGATAAGATCTCTAGAGTTTTATCCACTGATTTGCTTATCTCCTTGAGATTGGAGTAGTGTGTTTCTTCGGATTTCTCAATCAGTTTGTTGTGCCTGACTTCCATCTGCTCTATCTCTTGCCTAAAGGAGGCATGTTGAGATGCTAGGGCTGATTCAATCAGTCCTTGGACCTTCTTTGTCCAGATTTCTGGTACCTCATTCGGAAGAGTAGGAATGGAAGAGCTATGGAAATGGAAGTTGGTTACCTGATGAGAAGAGAGTGTTCTTTGGAAGAGTTGCATAGGAAGAGATTCAGCATCATCTTGTACATCTTCTTCATCATTGATCTTCAGGGTCCTTTAAGATTCTTCTTCTGCTTCCCCAAGTGTGAAATTTGATATATCCCGAGAGAGGGAGTCTC